ATATATATATATATATATATATATATATATATATATACAACTGGAGTGAAGCGGGAAGCGCTGGGCGTGTGTTGGGCCAAGCGGGGGAATGTCAAAGCTCTCGTGGTCACATGGAGAAAGGCCACTGACGTGAATCTGTTTTTGGTGCTCATTACCGAGTAAACTCGTATTTTAATAAAGGAAACTACTCACAAAGTTGCTGAAAGCTCTTCGACTGTCCGCGACCGGTTGAAGAATTTTCAGCAACCTTGTGAGTAGTTTCCTTTATGGAAATATACTGCGATACCTCGAATATCGTACCAACTGAAACATGAGGCGGCCATTGTGCTGCACATTCAGTCAAAGAACATCATAACCGAGGTATTTACGTGAGTGTGAAATGAAAACCAAATTAATTTGCAAACGAGTGTATTTGTCGAAACCTTGGATTTATGCTGTGCTACTCGACAGATCATACTGATCCACCACCCTGTATTTGTCGAAACCTTGGATTTATGCTGTGCTACTCGACAGATCATACTGAATGATTCCACCACCCGGTCAATCCGAGGGTTTTTATCGATCAAATACTTGATCCGTGGCAAAAAAGTGCGTGTTGTTTCGTTTTCTTAGATCAATGCCTAATCGAACGACCACATTTGCTGACAAAAGGATTGCTTGCCGACTGTTAGTTCCTTTTTCCGCCTTCCAATGACGGGTGAAACTTCGTTCGGTGAGTCTTAAACCGTGGTTAATTGTCCAAATAGTGTTTTGCGCACAGAATAGCGAAATGTTTAGAATCAGAAGACTTTGGGCGCTTACAACGCTGGTCTTCATTGGTCAAGAGAACCTATCCTGATGCAAGCTTATCAACGGTTTAGGTTCATGTGACTGCTTTCCCCAGAATATTTTGGAACTCCATATGGAAACGTTTTCGATTAGATCCAAGCAAGTTGACAAGATTGAAAGTCACCAGTGAGCTATGATACAAGAATACACGCGAATTTCCACCGCACGCTTGCACGAAAACACTGTTTGACAACAACGCACCTGCTTTGCAACTGCATCGCGCGCATCAATTCCTCAGTGTGCCGATTGCGGATGACTGCCTAGCTCACTCGGTTTGTTATCCATTCCTATTTTCATCACTCTGTTCTCCATTTCAGACTGAAGAGAAAAATGGTGATGTAGCGAGTAAGTTAACTGTAATGTTATACGTGTCTTGGGTTCACTTTTATGATGAGTGTGCCATTTGTTTGACATCTTCCAGACAGACGGTGTTTTTGACCCATTTACAGAGAATGTAGCCGTGTTTCACGAATTTTCTTATCCGGAGAAGATGGCGAACAGGGCAATAATTTAGCATCCAAGCTTCTTACAAAGGCGGGGCGGTCACTGAGATTCCTTTACGTCGTTCTAGGTTTCCCGGTAGAAATCATCATCGTCAGCTGTAAGAACCGCGTACAGTGGTTGTAGCTGCTGCAGTTTCCTTCACTGACGATTTGGGGGGATAGGTAGCTGCGCATTGGAGGCGGGAGCTGGTAAATTGGTGCATAAATCCAGCATTGTCATTGGGATGTCAAGTGGGTGGATTGGGAAGAGAGCTATGCATTGAAGGCAATAGCTTGGATGCATGGGCGCCATTGAGGGCGCGACTGGGCCATGTCTGACAATGTCTCTAACCATTGATGTGGACCGTCTCGGGGTCCCCATCCAGGAAGACGGCAATGACCAGCGCAGCTGAGTTCGCTGGTAATGGCTTTCGCAGTTCGCTGCCAAGTCATTGTTTGACCGCTCTCTTCCACCCTTCACGTGGTTGTACGAAAAAAGCCCTTCGAGGAAGTCGGTCGACTGGCATACGAAGCACGTGGCCGAGCCAGCGCAACCGGTAGAAAGGAACTATAGCATTTTAAGAATGGTCTTTAACTCAACATGGTCTTCAACATCTACCGATAAAGTAGATGGCTGTAACTTGCGTATCGTGAATCCGCTACTAAGTAGGATGTAGCGAAACGTAAAATTATGCATCCCGGCACATAGTTCGAACTACCTGCTTTACATACAAATCAGACGAAAACGTAGTTTTCGGTTGCATGAAGACAGTCGATTCATTTAACTGGAATGGCATCTAGATCCGAGTGAATGTCCCAGGTAGCTCTATATCGAACTTCATTGTACGCGTTGTTTGGTAGTGTTATGCCAAAAAACTCCCTCCCTAGATAAGCTGGCGTGGTGCACGTCCATTCCATGCCCTCTGCACCTAGCCACTGTACATAATCAGAGAAGTCGGTATGTTGATTGACCCGGCCTTTGTGAAAATGGGACTCATTGCAATGACAACATCAGAACTGACACCGATGCTTCAGATGCGGTACAGATCACAGCAACAGCGGGGCCTGCCCCTCCATACCTGTTAGTGTCTGGACGCGGTGCTAGCATGACAGCTAAGGTTGTTCTGATAAGCCTCCTCGAAAAATTCCCAATGGTATATGTCGCGATTTGCTCCAGTTCAGTGGTGTTATAGAAATGTGGGAAATCGGCTGGGATAAACGGAGCTCTAGGGTCAGAGACCATGTACTGATGGTGTTAAATAAGGCAGCATGACGCCTTGGAAGCATGTCAGGTCTTTGTAATGTACTACTCATCAGGTTGCTGAAAATCCATCGACAGCCCACGACCGGTTAC